GCTGGTTGTCTGAAAGAAACATCTTATACCGTCACACCTTTGTACAGTCAGCAGTACGACTTCGGACCTTGGGTTTGCTGCTCTTAGTTTTACCGCTTTTTAACCGACCTGTCTGGCATGGTAGGAGCTTGAGGAACGATTGTTCCAGCCAGTATAGCTCGATTGGTTCATCACCATAGGCAACTCCGGCCACCACGTCAAGGCAGCAACAACGGTCGGGCTTAACATCAATGTCTGTTGTCCATCTGAAAGCAGTATCAAGACTTTAGTGCAGTGCAATACATTCGCTTTCTATCTGCCACTTCGATAAGCTTGTTTCATGGGTGTTTATCCGGGGACTGTGTGGCAGGACTAATCAACTGGATCCCAATCAACTGGCATCCTCCTTCTGTAGCTCAGGCTTTGACTCAGAATCCATACATTTTGATCAGCTACCGCTGGCGTAGTTGTGTACAAAACCATCACTGACGTTTTGGACGAGGGACAGAGTTCTTCGGAGAACAGCTCAGCTGGTCTACTACCCTCGTGAAACAGGTCAAACTGTTCTGTCCTTTATGGACGGTGACGAATGACCAACCACCTAATTCGGCGGAAGTTCGCAAGATTCCAACTCCTGAAGCTCCATAGATGACTAGACAACTTACCTCTGGTCCTTTTTAGGGATGGTGACGAACTTTTGATCAAGAAAGTGACAGTTGCTTGCAAACGTTTTGGAGAGTGTTGCAAAGCCCTGAAACAAGGCGATAGTGTTCCTCTTTAAAAACGTTTTACATCAACTATGCAAGAACTATAAGGGGATAAGTCTATTTCCGATTGCGTTCAAATTGTTTGTTTCCGCCATACTTTGCGCACTGCCAAAAACCCGAGAATAGTTGACTCACGAGGAGCAGACTGGTTTTCGTTTTGACTGAGGGCGTATTTATCATATATACAGTCTCTGCCAAATGTTAGAACACCGAAGTAATTATTGCGGGTTAATAATCATTATCTCTTGATATCAAGACTGTCTTTGATGAACAGGACCGTTATATTGGGTCTTTTGAAGAAGGATGTGCCTAAGAAGTTTATCAACATTTTGAAGGCTCTGTATACAAACACCCAAGTAATAAGATCACCTCTCTTCATTCTTCCATTCAAGTAGTGAGGCTAGGGAAGGCTACCCAATCTCACCACTCCTCTTTAAATTAACCATCGACAGCATCCTAAAAGTTCTGATGCAAGTAAGTAGTAGCGGTGCGGATGTGACCTGGAGTAAGGCTTTCCGACTTTGAGTATGAAGATGATGGTCTCACTGCTTGATGATACCTAATCCATACAATCCCCACCTAATCAGTTAGCAACCGTTGTCCGTAGGTATGGCATGTGTTTCTGACCTTCGAAATGAGAAGAATTTCTACAAGATTGGTAGAAGCCTGTTCCTGCACTCATTCTTGGTAGTGAGCAGTTACAAGTAAAAGAAAAATTCGTGAATTTGGGTAGCTTTGTGGGTGCTAATAGTGGTATGACTGATGAAATTAATTTGGGTATGGTTGGAGCCAGTCTGGGCCATTGTGATGTGAATCTGATAGCAAAAGGTTGAATTTGCAATGCGTTGGTGAGAGCGGTTCTGCCTTATGCTCATGAAATTTGACCTCTCCGAGTTGAGCATATTAGGCAACTTTCAGTGTTTAATCATTTTTGTCTCTGAAGGATTGCTGACACTCAGCAGTAACACCATGTTAATATGCTGAAGTTTGATAACGTGTGTTCAGACACTGACAACTACATTGGTGTCAAAACCTTGAAGTACTGGTGGTTTGGACAAGTGCTACAAGCGTCGTTCCGGTGAATTTCACGTCGTGCATTATTTGCCGACGCTGGAGCTGGTTGGGAAAAGTGAAAATGGTCAGTCATTGTGTCGGGGTATGAAACAAAGCTGAACAGGACTGATATCCATCGACTCCTCGACTTTTTGGTTGATATTCGAGATACCATGCAACTCAGTGACTTGAGACGTCATCAGACATGACTCAGAATATAAACCGATGGCAATCGTGATGTAGTTTTCCTTCAATTTATTTTAAAGGAGGAACTTCCTTAACTGAAAAGATCGTTTGTGGCAAACCTTTTGCTAACTGAACTGCTTCTCCAATTATATACTATTTCCGCTCACTTCTTTTTTATCCACTTACTGTTTTTGATCATACATACCCTACTTCCGCTATTTCTTAATAGTCTTGTTGTCTTATTATGTGGTGGGTATTTCTTTCGGTTCACCTTTGTGCCAATATTTGTTTAAGTAATAATAATGAACTAAACTTAGTTTGCACAAAACAGGAAATGTATGAACAGTCAGTAGAACCCAGTAAGCTTGTAAAAGTGTAACCTATCTCCTATCATTTTGACATAATTAAAATAACTCAAAATGAATCCGCGAATTAAAACGTTTCATAGCCGAATATCACCGTAAAAAAGAAGAAATTAAACAGAAACTTTGAGTGATTCAAATCTTCTACCATTCAATAACACCTTTGATGTGAATTATTTATTAAGGTCCTATGAAACTTTTTAATACTACACTAATTAACAAATGTAACTCATGCATTTGGCTTTTAGGCATACTGTTTGTGCAAAGGGTGGTGACATTTACCAGGTGCCTGAATCGAAGCAAATGAAACTCTGTCCGAATATGTGGCCTAGTGATTAATAGTAGAGTGTTGTAAACAATAAGCCACCACTCTATATATTGAGAAGTGAGACAATGTTCATGATGAAGGTTCTGAACAAGTTCATCATACTACTAATTTAAATAAATCAAGATTTGATTTACTGAAAACAAAGTGGATTATCAGTTAAACAATCTTGTATTGTTTTGTACTCACTCCAAAGACTATATTACACTTACTGTGTTCGAAATACTTGTTATTTTGTCAGCCCCTAACAGGATTTTGTCAGTATATCTATTCTGCCCCCAAATGCCCTGGTATGGCCACTAAGAAAACCACCTGCTTCGGTCTGGGCACCCGGGCAGTATCACAGCCCACACACAAATATAATGAAAAGGATGATATTCTCTGAAAACTTTATTCTCGCAGCGATTTAATGTCAAACAATTCACATTATTATTATTATTATTATTATTATTATTATTATTATTATTATTATTATTAATTACCACGTTTTTTTTCCTCTTTTATCCCCACTCTGTCTATCCTTATTTTTTGACTTATACAGCAGCTGGCCTATGGTGAACATTCGGCTCAATCTAAACGTTCACGTGTCACTGCCTGATTGAAAATTGTACGTTCCCATCAAATAAGAGTACTGAAGCAGTTTTTCTGAAACAACGCGCACCATTTAAACTGCCACTGGCAGCAAGAAGTCTGGTGTGAGCGAAACAATCGACGTCTTGGACGATGGGCAGAATTTTTCGAAGGGCAGTTCAACTGGCCTGCTGCTCCGGCAACATCGGTCAGACTGTCCTGCCCTCCATGGCCGGTGACGACTGATCCACCAAATGAGGCGGAAGTCCGCAAGGAACTCCAACTCTTGAAACGTTAAAATCACCCGGCCCAGACGACTTACCTCCGGCTCTTTTTAAAGATGGTGGTGACTTTCTGACTAAGGGACTGACGACGTTGTTTGCAAAGGTCTGGGAACTAGAGAGTGTACCAACGTCATGGAATGAGTCGATAGTTGTCCCTATCTTTAAAAAGGGTTTACGTCGTTCCTGTAACAACTATCGGGGGATAAGTCTACTTCCGATCACGTCCAAGCTATTGGCTTCCGTCAGACTTCGTAGGTTGTTCAAAACCCGAGAAGGATTGAATTGCGAGGAGCAGGCTGGTTTTCGTTCTGGTCGAGAATGTATTGATCATATCTTCACCCTCCGCCAAATGCTAGAACACCGTCATACTTATCAAAGGCCATCAATCGTAGTGTTTCTTGACATCAGAGCGGCCTTCTATTCGTTGGACAAGACTGTTCTCTGGGATTGTCTATTGAAGAAGGGGTGCCTAAGACGTTCATTAACACCTTGAAAGCCTTACGTACAAACACCTTAGGTAAAGTGAGGGCATACGACATATTCTCTTCATTGTCCTATTCAAGCAGTGAGGTGAGACAAAGTTGCCCAATCTCACCATTCCTCTTCAACTTTGCCATCGATGACATTCTGGAAACAGCTCTGACGGATGTAAGTAATGGTGGTGTGGATCTGTTGCCTGGGGAAAGACTTCTCGACCTTGAGTATGCGGATGATATTGTCTCACTGTGCGAGAATGCCCAAGCCATGCAATCCACACTTAATCAGTTGGCAATCAGTGTCCGTAGGTATGGTATGTGCTTTGCACCTTCGAAGTGCAAAGTACTTCTACAAGACTGGCAGGATTCTAATCCGGTAATCACTCTGGATGGTGAGCAGATTGAAGTAGTCGAGAAGTTCGTGTATCTAGGTAGCTGCATAAGTTCTGATGGTGGTGGTGTGAGTGATGAGATCAATGCACGTATAGTGAAAGCCAGAGAGGCTTATGCCAATCTGGGCCATCTTTGGCGCCTTCGTGATGTTAGTCTGGCTGTAAAAGGTCGGATCTACAACGCGACGGTGAGAGCAGTTTTGCTCTATGCTTGTGAAACCTGGCCTCTCCGAGTTGAGGATGTTAGACGACTCTCTGTGTTCGATCATCGCTGTCTCCGAAGGATTGCTGGCATCCAGTGGCAACACCATATCAGTAATGCAGAGGTTCGGCATCGAGTGTTCGGTCACAGAGACGATAATGAAATTGGTGTCACCATCTTGAAACACCGACTTCGGTGGCTTGGACATGTTTTACGAATGTCGTCCCAGAGAATTCCATGTCGTGCATTATTTGCCGACTCTGGGACTGGTTGGAAAAAGCGGAGAGGTGGTCAGTATATGACATGGTATCGTGGTGTGAAAGAAAACTGCAAAGGGCTGGCTTCTGTTGGTCATTCACGACTCCCTGGCTGGGGTCCGAGAGATGGTGTAACACAGTGGCTATAGACGTTATCAGATATGGCTCAGAATAGAAGCCAGTGGCGATCCTGCTGTAACCTTCTTTTAATTTCTTCATAAAAAGTGGCTGTATCTTCCTTAACTGAAAGATTTCTCTTGATTGTACCTTTTCGTCTCCCCCCATTATTGTTCTTTTTTTTTGTTTTATAATTCCCTTCGTTCCTTACTTTTTTTTCCCTTCTTAAATTCTCATTGTTTTGTGTGGCGCATATATATTTGGTGCCCTCTTGTACCACTATTTATGTGTTCAAATAAATAAATAAGATTTAAGAAAAGATTATTTTATCATATGAGAATCTGAAATCATAAAATGGATCTAGAATTATAGTATTCCTTTAAGTATACCTTCTTATTCTGCCTCTTCGAACCATATTCCCAACCATATTCAGTTTTCGTTTTCATCATTGATATTACGATTATTTTGATTTCTTTACTATTTTTAAATTACTATTAATTCATGCAAATGTAGTATTAATACGTTAGTTGTCTATCAGGCTTTACGCTGATTATGGTTGATTAATTGGTTTGGCAAAAGGCTCTTATTGGCTTGGACATGTTCTACGAATGTCGTCCCACAGAATTCCACGTCGTGCATTATTTGCCGACCCTGGGAATGGTTGGAAAAAGCGGAGAGGTGGTCAGTATATGACATGGTGTCGTGGTGTGAAAGAAAACTGCAAAGGGCTGGCTTGTGTTGGTCCTTCACGACTACCTGGCTGGGTTCTGAGAGATGGTGTAACTCAGTGGCTAGAAACATTAACAGATATGGCTCAGAATAGAAGCCAGTGGCGATCTTGCTGTAACCTTCTATTACTTTCTTCATAAAAAGTGGTTGCTTTTTCCTTAACTGAAAGATTTCTGATTGTACCTTTTCGTTTCCCTTATTATTGGTCTCTCTTATTTTATAACTCCCTACGTTCCTTACCTTTTTTCCCTTCTCCTTAAATTCTCATTGTTTGTGTGGCTCATATGTAATTGGTGCCCCCTGTACCAATATTTATGTGTCCAAATAAACAAATAAATAAAATATATCAATTCTAAAGTACTTGGAAGATAGATCAGTACGAACGGCTGTGATGAGGCTGAATAAAATGGTAACAAGCAGCTAGTTTAAAGTAATTCTAAATTTGTTGTGTATTTTCAAGACAACGCCATGCAGAGCAGACCGTTACAAGTGAGTTTGAACAGAACGCAGTCAGTCAGCTGCAACGTAGAACCAGGCACATATATGCATCGGTCCAAGTTGCCATACCGCATTAGCACAACAAGATGAACACCGGATTCATAGAAGTAGTTAATCCAGGTGTGGTAATATATAGAAGAAAGATTGTGTATAAGGAGATAGTAAAGGAAGAAAGAATTAGTTCCTAGAAAGAAAGATTTGAAGTGATTTTAATCTCTTAGTTTAAAGGAAGACAGAGAGTGTATACACCGACGCCATTGTGATCGATTTTGAGCCATGTCACCAAGAGTCTCCAACCATTGGTTACGATAGTCACGCGGACCCCAACCAGGCAGTCAGCATCTACCAACATGGCTCAGACCAGAAGTTAGTGACTTCAAGCACTGATGCCACGTTTTGGTTTGGCCACCCCTAACTTTCTTCCAATCATTCCTAACACCGGTTAGCATTGCGCGCCGTGGTAATCGGTGTTCAGGCATACGCAGCACATGGCCAAACCATCTCAGTCGATGAAGATTCATAACCTCATCAACTGATTTACCACCATTCCCTAGTACCCTACGTCTAACCTCACTATTACTTACTCGGTGATCCCAGCAGATACCAACAATATTTCTAAGGCATCTGTGGTCAAATACTAGTAGCTCACGAATATCTACTCCTACAGGCCATGTTTTGCAGCCGTATAGTAGAACGGAACGAACTGACGCGCAGTATACTCGTCCCTTAATTGATAGACAGATATCTCGCCTTCGCCATAGATGACGTAAGTTGGCAAAGGCCAAGCGAGCTTTCGAATCCGTGCTGAGATTTTGTCAGACACCAACCCATTTGGGCTGACCAGACTTCTAAGATAAGTGAAGTTTGTCAACGCGTTCGACTACTTCACTCCCTATCCTTAGTCCAGGTGTTGACTCAGGCCATTCCTGGAACAACAACTTGCATTTATAGGGGGAGAAATTCATCCTAAACATCCTGGGATTGTTGCTCAGTGCTAACAAAAGACTCTGCATTTCATCAGCGTCTTCACCAAACAGAACTTTGTCATCTGCGTATTCTAAGTCAATAAGTGGACCTCCTGGTAGGAGATCAATACCCGAGAATTCAGTCGATGAAAACGTTATTTCCAGCAGTAGATCTATGATGAAATTAAACAAAAATGGAGAAAGTAGACAGCCTTGACGGACACCACTTGAGGTTGCAAAAGCAGATGACAGTTCGCCATAAGCTCTGACTCGACTAGTAGTGTTCGAGTAAAGAGCCTTTTACAAGGTTTATGTACTTCTGAGGTACGCCTTTCAATGACAGACACTGCCACAGAACCTCTCGGTCAACAGAGTCAAACGCTGATTTTAAGTCAAGGAATACCACCATTGTCGGACGCCGATATGTATGCCTGTGTTCTAGAACCTGACGAATGATGAATATGTGGTCGATGCAGCCACGACCAGGTCTGAAGCCAGCCTGATTTTCACAGAACGCAATTATCCATGTTATTACTAAGCCCAAACAATCTGAATCTCTAAAGTTCAAGAATAACAGTTTTGTTTAGTAGTTATTAATAACTTTGTATTTTCCTACAAACAAGAGTGAGCTACTACGACTAACGTGATATTAACACAAACACATTTTGATTGACGTAGTATAATGACTGAAACCACAAAGTGAGTAATCAGTCAATAAGATAACATATTTAAAGCTCTGTAAACCTTGGTTAAGAATGCAACAAACAAATACACCTACAAAATATTACGATATTCAGGAAGATTTTACCTTCAGGGTGTAATATAGAAACATTTCTCCCAGCACGCCTACTCCATAAAGAAAGTCGAGGTCCCCCTCCCGTAACAAACCAATCCTCTTCAAACTGTTTACAAGATAAAGTAGTTAACCAAGACCCAAGCTTGGATCGAGATAATTCACTATTTAGATACGGTTTGAACACAGATGAAGCCTTAAAGTTCCCATTCCGCATAACTCTGTTATCCCAAAAGCAGACAGTACCATCCTCAGAACTAGTAGCAAACTAAAAAAATGAAACATTAGATTGGAAACGAACCTCGTGTGCTCCAACCCTGCAAAGTTTATAGATCGTGGACTTATGTCCAGTAAATTTGAGCTTTTCTTTGAAATCACAACCAATAAAAAACGTATGGATAGTTCCATCACCTAATGCTGCAAACAGAGTGTCACTTTCTGTATGGTAACACAGCCCGGTAACCTAAGCACGATTGAGTGAAATGTAACTAGTGCATTAATTTATCCACCTTACTTCAGAAACGGTTGTGTAAAGATTTTCGGACGTCAGATGAACTGTATCATGATATTTCAGAAAGCCGTCGGTAGGTGTAGTCCATTTGTATACAACAATCAGACCAATTGACCCACAAAAAACATAATCCTTCCCGAAGCATAAAGCGTAAATGTTTCCTGCGTATTTCACGTTGATAATACACTCTGGCTTCCCCTCAATTTGTGCATCTATAACAGGAAAATTGTAAGATCAACGCTCACATACCACAGGACAGCGAACATAACGAATAAATTAGTATTTTCTGTATATTAGTTCCAAAAAGTAGATATTTCCTACATGGAGATGTAACGGATGATAGTATGAATGTATGGGCTATTATCCTATTATTGTTCATATCTGTAAGAAAAAAATGTAGAAAATAATATGAACTATATCATCTCTATAAACAATACCCATAACCTGTTTTATTGCTTCGTTTACAGTGACACGCCTTAGCTTATATTACCTTGAGAACCATATGTAGGTCTTCTTCTACGAGTGAAGACGAGCCAGTGACTTGTTTATTCGGCAGGAAAGATAGGATGCGACAAGTTTCATTTGTTGGCACATACATGTGACCAATTAAATACTGATTAAAACAGCACTCATATCACTAACATTTTACAGCATAAAATGAGAATATACTGGCTATTTGGTTTCAAAGCGAAACCTTGTAACTTACTGAGAGCTAGATATGTCCCAACAAAATTTACCGATATTTCGCTACTCAAATTCTGGAAATCAATAAACATGACAAGACGTAAAGCTAGGAACAAAGTTTAGCGATTCTTAAGGTGGAGGGGAATTTATTAGTTTTTTTTAATGGAAAAATTGCCCTATTCTTTGGTGGTGAACCAATTACATTTAAGATAGTGAGTTGTAGATATTTCCATTCACCCGTATAGCTGCAAAGAATCAGTAATTTGTAGCTCCGTAAACCCAACCCTCGTATTGTAGGTGATGCTAGTGAGTGATGAAAGCCCTAACTCTTCTCTCTTACTTTAAGAAGCAATTACCGTGAAACTCTTGATTATCTATGTTAATACTCATTACTCCTTGTAATTTTATCATCCTTTATTACGATCCTTTTTATCACTAAAGACTACCTTCTGATTAGCTAAAAAGTCCCGCAAGGTCCTGTATACACTTCACTTTTACCATAAAAACTTCATAAATGGACTTTCTCAAGATTAAAGTGATTTGGAATTAGGTAGCATATGTTCTGCACTAATCAGTATGAAAATATACCTAAAATCCATTTCCTATGTGGGTTTTGTACGTTAAAAGTATATTGTCACAGTGTTATATCAATAGAAATACTAAGAGAATTAGTTGTAAACAGCCTCTGCCAAGGAAGTCCTACTCACTGCCTTCTCTCACCACTGGTGTTGTTTGAGAAAATGAGAGAAAAAAAGCGAATGTCCGGCACCGGCTTTAACCGGATCCCAAATCAATGGTGCACATAGGCTCCAGTATCCTGAGGGGAAAAATGGCGTATGAAACAATCGTCGGTCACCGGTCACCATGGGACTACACCTCCTCACGATGCTCCACTGCCTTGTGGGTCAGAACTTTAGGTCAAGGGCTCGGGGTGTGGCCCCCTAAGAAAACCACCTGCTTCGGTTTGGTCACCCGGGCAGGATCACAGCCTACACACAAATAAAATTTTCTGTGGTGCATGTATATTTGGTGCCTTCTTGTACCAATATTTATACGTTCAAATAAATAATTAATATACCCTGGACAGTCACATAGAACAAGAAGCGCGGCCATCACTGGATAAACCGGGATATTCGAAGTTCACTACGACAAAAGAAGAAATGCTGGAACATTGCCATTAGCCTTGGCACAGCAAGGACTATGGAACGCTACAGGTCGGTATGAAATAAGTGTGTAATTAAAATCAGAGGAGCTCTAGGAAAATATGAAATGCAGTTGACACAATCTGCAATCAAGCAGTTTAAGAGACTGTTCCCGTACATAAATTACAGAACAAGGATGCAGCATTGGATTGCCAACCTAACTAAGGAAGGGAGTGGATCTGGAACGATAGAGGACGATTAGGAAAAAGCAGAGACTATGGCAAACTAGTTTGGGGCAGTTTTCACTCAGGAACCTCTTCTAGACGAAGAACTAGACCAACATAGAAAGTCAACAAACGGTCTGCTCACCGTTCACTTTGGTTGAGACGATGTACTTAAGGCTCTTAGCACTTTAGATACGGTTGAGTCAACAGGACCGGATGAACTACACCCCAAAATCCTGAGAAATATTGCACAGTATATTGCAGTCCTACCGACTGTGATATTCAATATGCCGCTTGACCAAAGTATGTCGTAGTTAAAATACTGGGAACAATAGCCAAAAAGACCATAATGACATTTGTAGAAACCAACAACTTGTTAAACAGCGAACAAAATGGCTCCGGAAAATGTTTATCGTGCACAACACATTTTCCTGTAGCAAGGGAGCAATGGATCAAGGTTCTAGACAATGGAAAATCAGTGGATGTTGTCTACATAGACTTCACAGCCCGAATGAAATGAAAGATGACTTTTACAGAATGCTTTCTGAACATCTTCAAAAAGCTAAACGTTCAGATATAGTACTCATAGCAGGTGACTTTATTGCCCAAGTAGGTAGCTTAAACCAAACAGAAAGACATTTAGGTGGGTATTTTAGTATCCCGGCTCAGCGAACAGATAATGGTGATCGTCTGCTGCAATTGCGCTCAGACAGTCGTTTGTTTTTAGCAAACACTAATTTTAGTATAGGGAGAGATATCGTTTTACATGGCGACCCCCTGCACCAAACCAACGATGGACTCAAACAGACCATATTGCTATCAGTCATCGTTGGAGAGGGTCAATAGAAGATTGTCGCTCATTCTGGAGCACCTGCTTGGACTCCGACTATGCCCTAATACGAGCACGCATCTGCTTGCGCCTCACTGGACGCAAAAGAGCCACACAAAAGACTCATCAGAACCGAATTGAGTAATGAGACAGCCAAAAGTAAGTTCCAGGAACAACTGAGGTCACACTTAGGTAGTTCTGAAAACGAGGCTGACCCAGATGTTGCTTGAAAAGATGTACAAACAACTGTGGAAACAGTAGCGAAATCTATTTTTGATTTCAGTCAGTCAGTAACAACGTGGAACTTCGTACGTACGTACATCAGTTCGAGTTGCCATACCACATTAGCACAGAGATGCAGTTATCAATTCAAATCCCATAATGGTAAAGGTAGCGAAAGTATAAGTAGTGATAAGGAACATTAGGGTTTGATGTTATTCAAGGAGTATAATCCAGTGGAATAAATTTGGAAAGAAAATAAAACACATGAAGAATTCAGAAGATTAGAATTTGGGAAAACACAGAGAGTGGATGCACCTGCGCCACTGCAAACGATTTTGAGCCATGTCATTCAAGGTCTCTAACCATCAGTTGCTATCGTCTCGCGGTCCCCAACCAAGTAGTCTAAACCTACCAACATGGCTCAGTCCACTTGTACGTGACTTCATGGATTTGTGCCATGTTTTGGTTTGGCCGCCCCTAGCTTTCTTTCAACCTACTCCTACACCATAAAACATCGCATGTCGGGGCAGTCGATGGTCGGGCAACGCGCGACACATGTCCCAGCCATCTCAATTGATTAAGTTTCACTACTTCCTCAATTGATTTGCCATCCTTACCTAGTACCCGTTTCCTAACAACTGAGTTGCTTACTCGGTGGTCCCAGGATATACGAGCAATGTTTCGAAGACACTTATGATCAAATACTAGTAACCCAAGAATATCCTCTACTCTTACCGGCCATGTTTCACTGCCATAAAGTAGGACGGAACGAACTGCTGCTCAGTAAACACGTCCTATGGTTGATAGACGGATATCTCGCCTACGCCACAAATGACGCAAGTTGGCAAAAGCTAGTAGAGCCTTCTGTATCCGTGCTGAGATTTCGTCACACACCAGACCACAAGGGCTGATGCGACTTCCAAGATAAGTGAAGCGGTCGACACACTCAACTACTTCACTCCTTATCACTAGTTCGGGTGTCGACGCAACCCAATCCTGAAGCAACATTTTACATTTCGAGGGAGAAAACCGCATGCCGAACATGCCTGCATTGTTGCTTAGAGTGGTCAGCAGACTCTGCATCTAGTCAGAGTCTTCACTAAATAGAACTATGTCATCGGCATATTCTAAGTCAACAAGTGGATCTCCCGGTAGAAGTTCAACCCCTGGAAAGTCAGATGTGGAAGGCGTCATCTCTAAAAGCACGTCAACGACAAAGTTAAACAAGAATGCAGAGAGTGGACAGCCCTGACGAGCACCACTTGAGGTAATCAATTCTGATGACAGTTCACCATAAGCTCTCACTCGACCAGTTGTGTTCGAGTAGAGAGCCTTTAAAAGGTTAATGTACTTTGGTAACTCCGCCTGGAGTCCCTTCGGGGGATACCGCCGGTCCCAAGCCTGGATAAAGGAGGAGGGTTGGGCATGGGGTTAGCCACCCAATCCCTTAGAAAACTAACTCGCCAAAAAAACGCTAATCAGAAAAAATTATTCAAACCATTTAAACTCTGCCCTGGGAGTCAGAAGGTCTTCGTTTAGAAGAATTATGATGCCTCATGATGGAAGCCGAGTTCCTTCGGAAGTCAGGAGGCCGATGCCCCTTCTGATAAACAGAGAAATCATTTATTTAGGTACATGGAATGCTCGTACAATGTGGGAGACTGGGAGAGTTTTCCAAATTGCTGCAGAAATGAGGAGATACAATTTAGAGGTGCTTGGGATCAGTGAAACACATTGGACGCAAGTTGGACAACAACGAATAGCTTCAGGGGAGCTGCTGTTATACTCCGGACATGAAGAAGAAAATGCCCCACATACACAAGGAGTTGCATTGATGCTGTCCAAACAAGCACAAAATGCACTTATAGGATGGGAATCTTATGGATCAAGGATCATCAAAGCCTCCTTCAAAACAAAGAAAGAGGGCATTACAATGAACGTTATCCAATGCTACGCACCTACCAACGACTAAAATGAAGACGCTAAAGACCAATTCTACGATAGGGTACAGTCAATCGTCGAGAAGTGCCCAACAAAGGACCTGACCATTCTGATGGGAGATTTAAATGCAAAGGTTGGAATTGACAACACCGGATATGAAGACATCATGGGACGACACGGACTGGGAGAAAGAAACGAAAATGGTGAGAGATTTGAAAACCTATGTGCCTTCAATAAACTGGTCATAGGCGGAACTATATTCCCACATAAACACATCCACAAAACCACATGGACTTCACCGGATCACACTACGCAAATCCAAATCTTCGGGATACTGACAAACTCAACAAATTCAAGATAACCCTCAGCAATAAGTTCTAGGCCTTTCATGATCTACTCAATGGAGAAGGAACTACTATGGAGAGCAACTGGAAAAAAATAAAAGAGGCAATCACTTCAACATGGCATGAGGTTCTGGGCCAAAAGAAGCACCATCACAAGGATTGGATCACGGTTGATACAATGGATAAGATTCAAGAAAGGAGGAACTAAAAGACAGCCGAACAAGAGCAGAAAAAACCAAGGCACAAGCTGAATACGCAGAAGTAAACAAGCAAGTGGAGAGGAGCATCAGAACCGACAAACAATGACGGCGGGAAAGGCTGCAAGAGAAGGAAACATGAAACATCTGTATGACACAACAAAGAAACTCTCTGGAAATCACCGTAAACCAGAACGACCAGTGAAAAGCAAGGAAGGCAAGGTAATCATCAACATTGAAGAACAACGAAACAGGTGGGTAGAATACTTCAAAGAACTCTTGAATCGACCAGCCCCACTGAACCCACCCAACATCGAAGCAGCACTCACGAACCTCCCAATCGATGTTGGCCCACCAACAATTGAGGAAATCAGCACGACCGCAAGACAAATCAAGTGTAGCAAAGCAGCAGGACTAGACAGCATTCCAGCAGAGGCACTGAAAGCAGAAGTAACGGTAACTGCAAGGATACTCCACATTCTCTTCAGAAAGATTTGGGATAAGGAACAGGTAGCAAAAGATTGCAAAGAAGGATACCTGGTCAAAATACCAAAGAAAGGCGACCTCAGCAACTGTGACAACTACAGGGGAATCACTCTTCTCTTAATACCAGGAAAAGTCTTCAACAGGGTATTGTTAAACAGGATGAAGGACTCCGTAGACGCCCAACTTCGAGACCAACAGGCAGGATTCCGTAAGGATAGATCGGGAACAGACCAAATCGCAACTCTACGGATCATTGTGGAACAATCAATTGAATGGAATTCATCACTCTACATCAACTTCATTCATTACGAGAAGGTATTTGATAGTGTGGACAGAACAACACTATGGAAGCTTCTTCGACACTACGGCGTGCCTCAGAAGATAGTCAATATCATACACAATACCTATGATGGACAGTTGACAAAGTCGTTCGAAGTAAAGACCGGTGTCAGGCAAGGTTGCTTACTCTCACCCTTTTTCTTTCTCCTGATCATCGACTGGATCATGAAGACGTC